AGATGATTTGACTAAGTGGCTGCAATGATGGGCTTGGATATTCTAAAAATTGTGCATGACTGGGCAGTGTTTCGTTCTGTTGTACAGTGTTGTGATGAATCGGTGTCAACTAGATGGCACCCATCAACAGCAATAATATGTATCTATTCATTACTAATATCAAAATCATCTTTTTTATTTACTCAGGAAACAGTTCTCCCAAAATTGCTTTCAGTAATTTTCTGTTACAGATATTTTTGTATTTTCTGTTAGTTGACTATCCGATACTTTCTCCTCTGATACTGTAAGAAAATCCAAGTAATGTAACTACAATTTCTCTAATTTTCAGAAACCCTTGTAGTTAGTGATGGTCATATGACATATTCCTAGAAAAACTACAATGATTGGAGCTTCTGAGATTATTACTGTTTTTCTGATAAAATAGAATGGTCTCCAGTGTAACCCATATTTTGCCAAAACCCCTTTCTGCCTCTGTATAATGTTCAGATGGTACTTAGATGTACAATAAATTTATTATGAGTTTGAAGACAAAAATCATGTACTAAAAATGTTGATGAACAAAGAGAAGGAGTTATGATCACTGTTGGTTAAGTTGAGCACCTGAACATCTGATGATTGTCTATGGGTCTCTTTCTTCATAATTAGAACATATTCTACAAGTCACGGTCAACACAACCAGTTCTTCCCAGCCTTGAACACAGTCAATTTTATTTTACTTTTCTCTCTATAATACCAATATTGATTATTCACACATTCAATTATTCTCTGTTTTTTTTTTTTTTTCTTTTTAATTATTAGTCAGCTACTTCCAATATAGTCTCTGGTTGTTACTAACTAGGTATTTTGACCATCTCTCAGACACGTTTGGTCTTTAGTAAAATTTGTTATTGTTGTTAGGGGCTGTTGTTGAGTTGTCTCTGACTCATAGTGACCCTACATACACCAGAAAAAAACACTGCCTGGTCCTTTGCCAGCATCATGATCCTTGCTATACCTGAGCCAATCGTTGCAGCCATTGTGTCAAGCTATCTTGTTGAGGGCCCCCTTTTGTGTTTAACCTCCACTTTGCCAAGCATGATATATGTCTCCAGGGAATGGTCCCTTCTGATAACATGACCAAAGTAGGTGAGATGAAGTCTTGCACATCTTCCAGGACTGATTTGTTAGTTCTTTTAGCAGGCCACAGTACTTTCAACATTCTTTACCAACACCACAACTCAAAAGCAATGACTCTCTTCAATCTTCCTTATTCATTGACCAGTGCTCACATACATATGAGGCAATTGAAAATACCATGGCTTGGGTTAGTTTTCAAGGAAACACTTTTGCTCTTCAGCACTTGAAAGAGGTCCTTTGCAGCCCACTTGCCCAGTACTATAAATTGTCTGATGTCCTGACTGCTGCTTCCATTGGCATCAATTGTAGAACCAAGCAATGTGAAGTCTTTGACAACTTTAATCTTTTCTCCATTTATCGTGATGCTGCTTATTAGTCCAGTTGTGAGGATTTTTGTTTTCTTTATACTGAGGTGTGATCCATACTGCAAATTATAGTCTTTAATCTTCATCAGTAAGTGCCTCAAGTCATCCTCACTTTCAGCAAACAATGTTGTATCATCTGCATATCACAGATTGTTAATGATTCTTCCTCCAATCCTGATGCCATGTTCTTCTTCATATAGTCCAGCTTCTCAGATTATTTGCTCAGGCTACAAATTGAATATGTATGGTGAAAAGATACAACCCTGACCCACTCCCTTCTTGATTTTAAACCATGCAGTATCCCCTTGTTGTGTTTGAACAACAGCCTCCTGGTCTATATATGGGTTCCTCATGAGTACAATCAAGTGTTCTGGAATTTCTATTCTTCTCATTGTTATCCATAATTTGTTATGATCCACACAGTCAAATGCTTTTGCATAGTCAATAAAACATAGGTAAACATCTTTCTGGTATTCTTTGCTTTCAGCCAGGATCCATCTGACATCAGCAATGGTATCCCTCATTCCACGTCCTCTTCAGAATCCAGCTTGCATTTCTGGAAGCTCTCTGTCAATATACTGCTGCAACTGTTTTTGAATTATCTTCAGCAAGATTTTACGTGTATGTGATATTAATGATATTGTTCGATAATTTCCACAATCTGTTGGATCACCCTTCTTTGGAATGGGTACAAATATGGATCTCTTCCCGTCAGTTGCCTAGGTAGCTGTCTTCCAAATTTCTTGGCATAGCTCAGTGAGTGTCTCCAGCAGGGTATCAATTTGTTGGAACATCTCAGCTGGTATTCCATCAATTCCTAGTGTCCTGTTCTTCACCAATGCTTTCAGTACAGCCTTGACTTCTTGCATCAGTACCATTGGTTCTTGATCATATGCCACCTCCTGAAATGGATGAACGACAACCATTGAAATGGATAAACAGTGACCAATTCTTTTTGCTACAGTGACTGTGTATTCTTTCCATCTTCTTTTGATGTTTCCTGAATCATTCAATATTTTGCCCTTAGAATCTTTCAATATTGAAACTCAAAGCTTAATATTTTTTCCTTAGTCTTTCAGCTGGAGAAATACCAGGTGTGTTCTTTCCTTTTGGTTTTCTAAATCTAGGTCTTTGCACATTTCATTATAATAATTGGCTTTGTCTTCTTGAGCTGCTCTTTGAAATCTTTTGTTCAGCTCTTTTATCTTGTCATTTCTTCCATTTGCTTTAGCTACTCTCCACTGAAGGGCAAGTTTTAGAGTCTCTTCTAACATTTATTTTGTTTTTTTCTTCCTTTCTTCTCTTTTTAATGACCTTGTGCTTTCTTCATGTATAATGTTCTTGATGTTATCCCTTAGTTGCTCTGATTTTTGGTCACTGGTGTTCATTGCATCAAATCTATTATTTACATGGTCTCTAAATTCAGGAGCGATATAATCAAGGTCATATTTTGGCTCTCATGAGCTTCTTTTAATTGTCTTCAAGTTCAACTTGAAGTTGCATATGAACAGTTGAGGTGTTCCACAATCAGCTCCTGGCCTTATTTTGGCTGAGGATATTCAGCTTCTCCATTGCTTCTTACCACAGATGTAGTCATTCTATCTGGCGAAGTTCCCATACCATCTTTTTTGTTGTTGAGAAAAGTTATTTGCAGTGAATAAGTTGTTGGTCCTGCAAAATTCTATCATGCAATCCTCAGTGTTGTTTCTATCACCAAGGCCATATTTTCCAACTCCTGGTGATTATTCTTTCTTTCCAGCATTCGCATTCCAATCACCAGTGATAATCAACATATCTTGATTACGTGTTTGTTTAATTTGAAACTCCAGAGGTTGGTAGTAATCTTCAATTTCCTCATTTTTTGCTTTGGTGGTTAGTGTGTAAATTTGAATAATAGATATTATCCTATCACTGATAGCATTGTACTTCAGGACAGATCTTGAAACATCCTTTCTGATGATGAATGCCATGCCATTCCTCATCAATGTGGCATTCCCCGCATAGTATATCATATAGTTTCTGATTCAGAATGGCCAAAACCAGTCCATTTCAGCTCACTAATGCCTAAGACATCAATTTTATGCATTCCATTTCATTTCTGAAAACTTCCCATTTTCCAAGATTCATACTTCATACATCCCATGTTCCAATGATTAATAATGGCTGTTTGGAGCAGTTTGTTCTCATTCTGAGTCATGCCACATCTGCAAATGAAGGCCTTGAGAGCTTTACTCTTTCCATATGATTAAGGTAGTCTTTACTCTGAGGATGCAGATTTTTCCCAATTGTATTTTGAGAGCCTTCCGACCTGAGAGTCTCATCTTCCAGCACTGTATCAAACAATATTTTAGGGCTATTCATAAAGTTTTCTAGTAATATGTCAAACAGTGTTTCACTGTTATTCATATGGTTTTCATTGGCCAATTGTTTTGAGAAGTGGATGGCCTCTTCCTTCTTCTGAGTCTGTCTTAGTCCAGAAGCTCCATTGAAACCTGTACACCTTGGGTAACCCTGTTGGCATTTGAAACACTGGTGACATAACCTCCAGTCTCACAGCAACACTCAAGCTACCACAGTAAGATAAGCTGACAGACAAGTTAATCTCCTTTACTTGTTCCAAAGTGCTTTGCTCATTTCCTGGCCTCCCTGGTTGTTCCGGCCTGCCTCCAGCTCCCGTTTCCTTTCCTGGCTTCCCCTATATTCTAAAAATAATTTAGATTCTTTTTAAACAAAGAAAAAAAAAATGTCTAAGGCAATTTTGACTAATGTGTGTGCATGTGTGTCAACCTCATGTGTGTCAGAGTAGAAGTGTGCTTTATAGGGCTTTCATTGGTTGAGTTTTTCCAGAACCTAATTGCCCAGCCTTTTTTCTGAGGCACATCTGGGTGAACTTGAACTAACAATTTTTCTTTTGACAACCAAGTATGTTAACTGTTTGCATCATTCAGGTTCCCTAACTTCACTATAAATATGAACTGGCCAATTCCTGAAAGTTACATGATGATTTTTAACATTTAATAGTGTAACACTTGGTGACTAGATTCTAGATAATTTACACAGCAAAAAAGCCCTTTACAGTGGTAATAAAATGACATTAGAGTGTTGAAAGGGTTGGCAACTAACACATATCAGAGATCAAGAATATTTCAGTCTCTGAATGTACATTGATTAAGACTTGACATTACTTACATAATATTTGCTTACAATTATCCTCTTACGATTGCAGAGAGTTGACAGCACAGAAGAGTGAGTATATAAGAAAATAAAACCTTAAGAAAATAAGATTTAAAATATAAGAGAAAAAATCTAATAGAAATAGAATTTATATAATGTGGAAAATTGAAGGAAATCACTCCAAGTACAAAGTATAAACAGAGAAGTGGCTATTTACATTAAGAATTATTGTGTATATGTGGACCTTAAGTAGACAACTTTCAAGAAAGAGCCATTTTAGCATGTGGATTTTCTGATGTTTTTATATTTATTTATTTTTAAAATATAACATCGATAAATGTTTTGCTATAGATTTTCATTTAGCCAACTAATATATTTATTTATCATCCTGGTGCTAATTTTAAATTCTAGAAATGAAAATGTTCCATGGAATCCATCCTCAGCGTGGTGATGAGTCACCTGAACTCCAGCATTGCGAAGTCGGGTGACATACATGAGTCCATCATCTCTTAAAACATCATATTGACAGGTGACGACATAGGTTAGTGGTAAGTCATGCAATTTGTTGTCATCAGCCAACAAGGGGGCTGCCCTAACATCTAAGAACCCTGGATATTTGTTTGATAGCTCAGAACTACCGTAAATTGGATTGTTGTAAACATGTCCTTTTTTAAACTTCTCAGGGAGCAAGGAACTCCAATTAACAAACTTAAGTAGATGACTTGATTCCACAGGGATATGTTGGTTTAAAAGCATGGCTTTTTCAAGTGATCTATCTGTAGTAAAATATTCGCTCCAGAACCGGACCATGAGTGATTTGGGCAGAACTGGATCATTTGAGTTTTCTTTATATGATGGTGAATCTACATCAAGAGTCTGAAGGGCAGGATAAATTAAAGCCTGGATCTTGAGTTTGATCTTGACATCTGTGTCATCTAAGAGCTGCAAAATAAGTAAGATAACTCACACGTTATTTTCATTTTAAAACAGTAAAATAACTATAGTGAGATAGTCTATATATAAATTAATAGTCTCAAAACTCTTCATTAATAACCAAACTCACTGCCATCGAGTCAGATCTGATTCACAATGACCCGTCCTTGGGTTTCCGAGGCAGTATCACTACAGAAGTAGATTGTTCAATTTTCCTTCTGAGGAGTGGCTAGTGGGTTTGAATTGCCAGCCTTCAGGTTAGCAGTCAAATTCCTTAGGCACTATGCCACCAGAGCTCCTATACCATCTAGCAAACTTTTAAATATTAATAATGAGCTACTATAACCTAAACCTGTTGTTCTTGAAATTCTGACTCATGGCAACCCCCATATGTATAAACTAGAACTGAGCTTCATGGAGTTTTCTTGGGTGCAATCTTTACAAAGCAGACTATAAGGCTTTTCTTATAGCCTTTCCAGGAGCAAACCATTTGTGCCCCCCAGAGACCTTTTCTACAACTAGATGTTCCTTAATTAAAAGATGCCTTTGATTTAAAGAAAACCATCTTTCTTATTTTCCTCGTAGATGATGCCAAAAAATCTAATTGAGAATTAAAAAGTTAATGTCACCTTTTCTACTAAGAATAACAATCAGAAGAACTGCATACACTTGACTTTCCTTTTATTCTCTTTTGTTCATATAGGAATTTGTTTAAGTATCATTGTTGTTGTTGTTATGTGCCATCGAGTCAGACCTGACTCATAACAACCACTCCTTGGGTTTCCAAGGTGGTATCACTATTACACTAATAAATTAAGAGCCCCAGTGGCTCAAATGGTGAAGTGCTCACCTGCTAATCAAAAGTTCGGTGGTCTGAACCTATCCAGTGGCTCCAGGGGAGAAAGACCTGGTGATCTGCTTCTGTAAAACTACAGCCAAGAAAATCCCCTGAGGGCAGTTCTACTCTGTTACATGGGGTAGCTATGATTCAAAAAATGACTGATGATACCTAACTACAACAGCACAATAATAAATTAGCACTTGACTGCTAACCAGAAGGCTGGCAGTTCAAACCCCCCAGCCACTCCTCGGAAGGAAGGTTGGGCAATCTACTTCCATAGTGATACTGCCTCAGAAACCCAAGGAGGGGTTGCTATGAGTCAGGTCCAACTTGATGGCACATAACAACAACATGGAGAAGAAGAACTAATTTATAAGGATTCTGATGTTAAAGTGGAAAACAAATTTTAGTTATTTGGGCAGGTTGTCTGCATGATACTTCTATTAGCATCATCCTTTCTTACATCAGGCCTAATGTGATAATATTTATAAAGATCAGTGGTCAATAGAAAGGGATACAAAAACACCAGAGGAAGCAAGAAAAATATCTATCAGTTGGAATGTAATATTAGAACATGTGCTTTAATTTTTTAAAACATTTCTTTAAAATGCAATTTTTATTTGCTTTCAAAATCCATAATGTATTATATGGTAAAAAGTATGCATATATGTATATATTATATTTGTATACATTTTATGGGGAGCCTGGTAGCATAGTGCCTAAGGCACTTGACTGCTAACCAGAAAGCTGGCAGTTCAAACCCCCCAGCCACTCCTTGGAAGGAAGGTTGGGCAATCTACTTCCATAGTGATACTGCCTCAGAAACCCAAGGAGGGGTCGCTAT